TTTATAAGGAGAGTCATGAATATTTTCTCTTGAAATTTTCAGGGAATGTAGATCTGATTGCGAATACAATCCTCTAAAAATTAGAGGGAAACTATTAAAAGATAATCCTGAAAATTTTTATTTTGACAAAGATAATTCGGCAGCGTTTGAAGGCTCATACAGCGTTCTTCCATAGCGCGTCAGAGAAGAAGTAACTACGTGAAAATCAATTGAATCAAAGGAAACTTTGTGCATAGGATTGTGCGTCATGGTACCTTTTAATTTCCATTTCATTCATTTTTTTATCGTTCTTTTGAGCAAAACTCCCTACATGAATTAATCCTTCAAATATCCTTGGGGTAGCAGTTCTCCACGGCTCACACACGGAAAACGCCACCGTCATAACTGCACCCGCAAGTGCGTCGTGTACTTACCCCTCTTTTGAAAGGGGGCTTGAAAGGCACAACACGAGGTGTTTTGATTGTAATCCTTCGCAGCCGACCTTGTCTCTTTAGCGGGGCTTTTATTGTTTGATGTATTTATTAGCCGATCGAAAAACTGAAAGTCATGCTTAATCAACATATCTGCCCTGTCCTCGTAAATTGACGCTTGTTTGCCCAACCCGCCGCGGAGGGCGTTCGAAGCGGTGCCAAATCGAGCGGCACGGGAACCCCGCCGACAGAACCGCGCAACCCCCAGCGAAATCCCCACCCAGATACGCGTTTTTTCCGCGACGAGGACGACAAAACCCGAGTTCATTTGGATTTTAAAAGCGCGTATGGGAACTGGGATTGCGGAGGATATAGGCGGTTTTTAGTTAGGGAGCGTGGAAATTGGGCGAACGGTTTCTTGACGTGGCGCCAGGATCGGATCCCAGCGCCGATCCCCTCGGTTCCTGGGACCTTGTGAAACGTAACGCGAGCTGATTTAATAATTGCGGTTAACAGGCGGACCGAATGAAATGTCAGGAGGGGAATTAGTATGTGGTTTGTTCGGTTTATTCCTGTCAATGGGCCGGGGCCCCCGGCTCCTCGGGGCCGCGACCCGGACTCGCCGACCCGGGCCCACAGAAGCTGTTGAGTGCTCCACTAGTAATTTATTCATTCTGTAGTGCACTTGCAGATCCCCACGGCCAATGACTCCACTACCTCTGTCTAATAGTTTTTGTGCGTATTTTGCGAGGGCCGATTTACTCTTGTGATGTCTCCTGATTATATCATATTCCCGGGCTCGAAGAACACACATCGACGGTGTAAGTCGGCAATCACATAACTCGGTTTGCGCCGTCGCAGACTTCCTGTCATATTTTATTTTTGAACGGAAAACTACTCAACGGCAATTCTTTAAAACAGCCGTGATTTTTCTTCTCTGCGCAAAGAAAGTTCTGCATAAACGTCAAGGAATTATGTCAATTTGTTCTCCTTTAAAAATAACGTATAGAAGCGGAGATTTTCAGACACCGCAAACGAGATATGTGATTACGGACTTACGCCGTCGACATGCACATCGTACCTTCCAGCCAAAGTATCATCAGCTCTATGCGACGTTTAAAAATTTCCACCGCCATTTTATCTTTTTACAGAGGAATTTTTCGATGAAACTATCAGAAAACTTCAATGAATTGTCTTTGTGCTACTGATAAAATTTAGTGAAATTTTCAAACAGCTTCAACCAACAATTTCTCTGTAAGAAAATAAAATGGCGGCAAAAATTTTGAAACGTCGCATGGCGCTTGTGATACTTTGGCCGGAAGGTAGCGACATGGAAAGTGACATTTTATAATCATATTTTTTTTTTTTTTTTTTAAAAAAAATCTTAATTTTATATAAAAAAGTATGAATTCTTAATTTTTTTTTTTGAAATCATGAGACTTTACCAAAATGTAAAACCCTAAGAGCTTAGTTTCAATCTTAGGCCTTGATAGAGATCAAATTCTAGAACCCATTCCCATCCAAGTGTCAGGAGTCTTCAGTCTTAAATTCGTTACTTCGCATCATTTTCTAATGAAATCAGGGACCGAATTTTGTCAGTCCTTCCACCGGTTCCTAAATATACCTAGGACCTCAACTGCACTTAAGTCCGTCTTATTAGCGCCTCCTTTTGGCTAGTGGTGCGGCTTGGACCTACCGATGGATGTTGCATCTCAAATTTCGTCTCAAAATGTTGCATGGTGTCCAACTATCATCAAGTGATCTACTTTAATCGTACATCGAGGCCTTTTCATTAATCTCACCCCATGAACTATCCTAAACCACGAGACCATGCATAAACCTATCAATCGTATCAGTATCGTATTTATCCATTGCGGTGTTTCAAAATGCCTGCATGCATTTTATTTTTTCCAGAAGAAACTAGCCAACTTTATGGCTCGATATTTTTATAGAATATTCTGTCAATGGAGAAGAGAAATCAAGGAAGTCCTCGATGAAGTTCGTTGACTAGTTTTTCAAAGAAACCATGAAGTGTGACAGGAAGCCTGCAAAGTCGCAAACGGAGTTAAGCGGCTTCGCACTATGACCGTCAAAATGTAGGATCAATTAGTTTGCACGGCAAGTTTGTCAAACGGGATCCCTTTTCGCAAACATAGCTCAACACGTCGGTCATCAGCCATCATCCCGGGGGCGAATCCGAGTGTTGACTTCCGACAATGACATTTAAACCGTAAGAAAGGTAGCAGAGTGGAGCCTGGATAATATATTGTCTCTGGCCGGGATATTTTGTCCCCGGGAACATGGGAGCTACAACTAAGTACCTCTCGGCGGGCACGAACACACATTGGCACTGCTCTCGACTCGAGCTATCGGGAAAAGGCAAGACGGGAGGAACATCCGATGCTATCCGGCTACCAGCAACACGAACGCCATTACACCCAAGTTATCTAAATATTATGACGTAATTGCGGAGGGTACAGGAGCTTGGCTCGATGCGTTGGTCAGTTGGCAGATAATTTATGAAAGGGGCTGAGGACAGACGGACAGGCTGGAGGAAGACAAGCGAAACAAGGGGATAAATCATGTATAGGGGATCACCGCGCACTGACCAGTGAACACAGAGACCGAACAGGGACCGCCACTCATCAACAACAGCGCATCCACCCGGGGGCTTTCGCGTGTAGATAGGTGGTTTTGGCTTAGGGCGGGACAGTAGCCGCGTTCGCGGCCAGGTAGAGGGCGCTCGTCGCGCCAGACAGTTATGTTGATATTAATTAATGCGGCCCGGTTAATTTATGCATGTGCCCAGTCCTCGTCGATGCACAGTAGCAGATGTAGCCGACATTTTTCATACATGAGAAATTCAGTGAACATTTCAAGTCGGCTGTGTAGTGTGTTCCCCGTCGGAAGGTTTTTCTCTTTCTTCCCCCGGTTTTTTTTTCTCTCTTTTCTTCTGCGCCCATCATCCGTATTTCTCGGTCCGCCCGTTTTAGTTTTCTAATTCTCAGCGCATTCCACTCGCAGCGCAGTATCTTTTTGATCTAACGTGCTCATGTCGCTCTCGGGCCGAGTTAGCGGCTACCGGTGGCGGTGGTGTGTGCTTACAGCGGCGACGCCAGACTGGCTCAAAAGCCCGGCCTCCGGCCTCTGGCTTTCGAGTTTCGTCAATATATCTCATTAGGAGGCACACCTCTGGCCGCTAAACGGATCAACCCCTAGAGAACGCTAGGTGGCGCGGCGGCCATCCCAGCCCACTTCTTAAGAACTCCCCCTAAAAATTTGAAGAGGAAGGGTGGCTGCTGCCTAACTAGATACACACAATAACTTATTAGCGCGAGGAAAATGATAGACTACCCAAGAATCTCTCGAGATCTGCCTTCAAGTAGACGGTTGCTTACCTTCTTTCTTCATGGCAGCCCCCTCCCCCTGCTAGTGATAAAAGTTCTGCATTTTCTCTTCGTCTTCTGTGTCTATTGCTATACCTGTCAATTTCCATAACCAGTCTTTGATGCTAAGTTCTCATGCTGAAAAATGAGAGCCGTAAATCGGAATTATGAATCCCTGCACAACACTCGTAATTACGTAAATTTTTCTTTTTAACGAAATTTGTATCGAATTTCTGAATTTGAGTCCTCTGAATTTTGAAATTGCCTGCAAGAAGCTGCGTCTGTGAACGACAATTTCAAGTTCATGTTACTCATGACCCAATGATATTCAAAGGTCATCAAGTGTCGTCGCTTTTCTAACGTTATATTAGCATGTAGCTCTATTTCCACATGAGCCCCAGAGAGCATGACGTTATAAATACAACAGGGCTCACGTGGGAATCGTGATACGCGTCCTTACATCAGAGGAGGGACGTTATTTCGGGTGCTACGGCACTGCTTCCGAAATCCTTCAAATAGCACCGGACCGTTCTATTTGAAGAATTAACAGTCAACTACTGCACCAATAGTTGTCGCTCCTATGACGAGGGGGCGTATCTCAATTTCCACGTGAGCTCTGTTTTCATTATAACTCTATATGCTTTCCAAGGCTTTCCTGACGTCAGAGGAGCAACGCAATGACGTCCTTCCGAGGACTTTAATGATTATTAAAATTTATAGATAAACCGACAGACGAAGGAGACATAGAGAACATGGACCGATTCTGTTGGTGGAGGTGGGTAATTGTAATCGACAAAGGAATGAGTAATAGACTAATTAACGGCAACCCACGAGATACCCTAAAATTAATCCATTGTTTCTACTTTAGTCCATTGCAACCAGCCGCTCCAACCAATAGAATCGTTCCATTTCCCTATGTCAGCTTTGTCTATAGCTTTGTCTATACATTCCAATAAGTAGCCCTCAGTTCTATCGTGGGAAATAGTCATCATTGCCTCTCGATTTTTACGAGAGAATTCAGGGAACAAACGGGATGAGAATAGGGATGGAAAGCAGAAATATGGGATTATGTCGATCGAAGATTGTGTAAAAGACCGCGCGGAATGTTTCTTATCCGTTGAGTTGATTTGATGGTGTTAATTCTTCATCAATTAACTTCGTAAATTGTGTGTTTAACTTTCATGTTTGTTTTGTTTTGTTTCAGTTACCATGCACAAAATGAAGGAAGAGAATCAATATCGAGGTCGCTCAGATGTCGGTATTTATGAGCACGCTCTTCTGGACGGCGACATGTTCCTACAGGTATGAAAATATTAATGAAAGGTTTATTAAAATATTTTAAATGTAATTAATTAATCGATCATTTTTTTTATAACTTAATCATGAAACATTTGGTGTATATATATTCATATTTACGCCAGTTAAATATAGGTCGGGTTGGTGCTACATGACATCAGCGTCAGCGTCTTGTCAGAGATTTGAACGCACGATTTATCAATTTCTGGTCACTTATATAGGTCCCCAATCATAAATCAACTTCTTTTTTTTCGGTGGAACCCTGAAATTTTTAGCTACAAATTCAAACCTTCCGAAATTTTGTAATCAACAATGCGATGTATCGCACGCCAGTGCGACAGTCAAAATATCAAGAAAATCGATCCAAGATGAAATTTCAAGAGTCACCCTGAACTTTTCGGCTAAAAAGCCGAATCTGCCGAGATTTTTATTACCAATGCGATATATCGCACGCCAGTATGACAGTCGAAATATCAAAAAACTCAATCAAAATGATACTTTAAAGTCACTCTGAACTTTTTGGGTAAAAAACCAAATTTGCCGAGAATTTTACCTGACAATGCATTAAATCGCACGCCGTGTACGACAATCGAAATATCAAGAAAATCGATCCACACTGATAACTTTAAGACACTCTGAACTTTTTGGCTAAAAAACCGAATCTGCCGAGATATTTACTTACCTAACAATGTAATGTATCGCACGGCAGTTGGACCGCGCCGAGAATCCGGGACGAATCGGCTTAAGTAGTGAGCTGGCGAGACCAGTGGCGTGGCGTGAATTGCGATATATCGATTGTTATGCCATTTAAACCTATGGTAAAGAATCGATTATTAAGGTGTTCGCTGCGAACGCCCTGTTTATCGATCCTTTTCCATAGGTTTAAATGGCATAACAATCGATATATCGCAAAGCACGCCACGCCACTGGGCGAGACGGAGCTCATGGGATTCATTTAGAGATAGCCGGGTCCCGGGTGGAAAACTCCATAAAAATTGGACATGCTCGGAGGGAACAAGTGGTTGTGGTTGTGGCCGAACATGCAGAAGCAGAAGCAGAAGCCGTAGCCGTGATTCGGATAGCTAAAGCCTCTTCATTCATGCCGCGAACGCTCCTCACCTCGCCTCACCGCACCGCACCGCGCGCCCCTATCAACCAACGCCATCTCTGTCCTTCCTCCCAGTTCTCAGCTTTTCTTCTATTGACCACATCGTCATCGCGTCGTCGCCATTTTTTCAATAATTCAACACATTTATGCATTGACTACCCATCGTCGTATTCATACACTGGAAAAAAACACATTGGATCTAGAGTCCAGACTCTTAAAAACATCGACAAGAAAAAATACTCTTGATTCAATCGGATTTTTGCGTAAATCAAGAACCAAGCCTCTTAATTTGAGCGGATTTCCTTTTGGTTTAAATCTGATTGAATCAAAAGTCCTTTTTCTTGTCGATGTTTTCAAGAGTCTGGACTCTAGATGCAATGTGTTTTTCTTCCAGTGTAGTTGCTTCCTAAACACCTCCTTTCCTCAGGAGACCCCATATGGTTCACATTGTGATTATGGTGGTCCTCGATCTACTGTCATAAAAGGGACGAATTTAAAGAAATTCGAGTAGAATTTAACAAAGTAACCTCAGTAGTAGATATTTTCAAGGGATTTCCGTGATTTGCCACTCCAAAAAATAATACATAAGTCCGGAACATTTTTTTTTTTATTAATTGTAACAGACTTTGAGGTGGGCACGACATGAGCCATGTACCATGGCCATGTACCTTTTGTGGGGGAAGGAGGACACACTGGGAAAAAAACACATTGGATTTAGAGTCCAGACTCTTTAAAACATCGACAAGAAAAAGTACTCTTGATTCAATCAGAATCTGGTTTAAATCAAGAACCAGGTCTCTTAATTTAAGCGGATTTCGTTTTGATTCAAGCAAAAATCCGATTGAATCAAGAGTATTTTTTCTTAGCAATGTTTTTAAGAGTCTGGACTCTAGATCCAATGTGTTTTTTTTTTCCAGTGCATTTCATCAAGGAGAGTCTTGGGGGACATTTAAAAATACTCCACCATACGGGATCTATAAGACTCCCTCAGCTCCAAAAGAGGGTTTGGAGGACTTCTGTAGCTCTAAAAAGGGTTCAGGGGGCATTTCCGGGAAATACTTCTCAATCAAATCATCGTAGGGGTAATTTCGGATTGTTCTCCCCAAAAATAAATCAAATTGGGGTCCAGTAAATTCTGGATGTTAGGACCNGAATTTAAAGAAATTCGAGTAGAATTTAACAAAGTAACCTCAGTAGTAGATATTTTCAAGGGATTTCCGTGATTTGCCACTCCAAAAAATAATACATAAGTCCGGAACATTTTTTTTTTTTTTTTTTTTTTTATTAATTGTAACAGACTTTGAGGTGGGCACGACATGAGCGAAACCATGTACCTTTTGTGGGGGAAGGAGGACACACTGGGAAAAAAACACATTGGATTTAGAGTCCAGACTCTTTAAAATATCGACAAGAAAAAGTACTCTTGATTCAATCAGAATCTGGCTTAAATCAAGAACCAGGTCTCTTAATTTAAGCGGATTTCGTTTTGATTCAAGCAAAAATCCGATTGAATCAAGAGTATTTTTTCTTGGCAATGTTTTTAAGAGTCTGGACTCTAGATCCAATGTGTTTTTTTTTTCCAGTGCATTTCATCAAGGAGAGTCTTGGGGTACATTTAAAAATACTCCACCATACGGGATCTATAAGACTCCCTCAGCTCCAAAAGAGGGTTTGGAGGACTTCTGTAGCTCTAAAAAGGGTCAGGGGGCATTTCCGGGAAATACTTCTCAATCAAATCATCGTAGGGGTAATTTCGGATTGTTCTCCCCAAAAATAAATCAAATTGGGGTCCAGTAAATTCTGGATGTTAGGACCCCACCGATTTCCGCCCATGGGCACGCTGTCTCAGAATTTTCAAAACCTATACAAAAAGTTTACTTTTGTACTTTTCTACCAATTCTTTACTTTTTCATTTTTCTGTAATGATAAATTATTGCAATCCCTTTGAATGTATTCTCAAACTCATACTGTTAAATTTTACTCGATATTCGTTAAAATCGTTCTTTTTATGATTGTATGTTAAGCACTTCCTTAAACATTCCTTCATTATAATGGACATCCCCATATGGGGGCTCCAGAGGAAAGGATATGTCAAAGGGACGACTATGTATGTACGGCTCTTCACCGTGCGATTAATAACCAATCTTTGCGTTACCCATTTGCGGTGTGGGGAAATCATGCAAGGAAAGATACGGAGTGGCAACACTGGTCATCTGAGAGTCTTGAGTTTCCAGGTTTAGCTCGGATATCCCCGGGAGACGAAGGAAAGGTGGGATCTGCAATCAATTAATGAGGTGACTTAGGTCGTGGTAGCATCGGGAGCGAAAGATTAGCCGCCGATGAAAGAGGTGTTGCACCGAGGCGCGAAGCGAGAGGACGCTGAATGTGAGGTAAGTGGGTGTGATAAGACGCCCAGTGCCCACTGTTCAGCCGACTCATTTTCCGACCAACTTCAATTTCAAGGATTCCAATCCCAACACGACGCATCTGCATTTCTTCCAGAGTGTTTTCGATGAATGAAACATCCCGTTCTTTAAAGCACCGTTTAAAATGATCGTGGCCGGTCCGGTCCTCGCGAGGGTTAAATGTCATTCACGCTAAGACTACCCCTTCGCTCCCCTCTCGGGTCAAGGGATGAAGAGAAGGGAGAGGATGGGAAAGAAAAAGAAGAAGAAGAAGAAGATAATGTTGTGTAAGAAAAAGAAGAAAATAAATAAAGAAGAGGAAGAAGAAGAGGAGGAGGCGGGGGAAGAGGGGCGCCCGTATAGTTGGCACCCCCTATAATTACGTACATCGTGCACTTCTTAGGCTTGAAAATGATGAAGCGTTGGAATGAGAGAAAAAGGGCGTAGAAAGTTCCCCCTTTTCAGCCTAGGGAACTTTCCAAGCACAGCTACTCTACAATCGTACCCGTGCGTTAAAGTCTCCTCGCCATAAGCAAGAATACCGTTTTTGAAGATACCACTGATGATTTTATTGTGAAAGGTAGCGGCATTTTGGCCTACAGAAGTGTCAGCACGGCCTTCAAGAGGGCAATTTGTCACCCACACCCACTCAAACAAAAAATTTGCTGCCTTTTCCCCCACCTCCGGTCAATGAGTGAAGGAGAGAGGAGAGTAGAAAGTTACAGAGGGTATGGGGATAATCGTCTTAAGACTACAATGAATATTAAGTTATGACATGTTTTGTAGAATTTAGTGTATTACGCTCCTTCCTTCTCTAAACCTTACACGCCGCTTAGCAGGCTGATTATTGAAATGGTCAGACAAAGCGATAGACAAAGAGGACAAAAGGGACAAAAGGGAAATGGAGCGATCCCATTGGTTGAATGGGTGGTTCTTACAGACTAAAGGAGTCAACGATGGACTAAATGAAGGGTAGAGTAAGTTGCTGTTAGTTAGTCATTTATTTCCCTTCTTTTTTTCATTGCAATCACCGACGTCCACCAATAGGATTGCTCTATTTTCCCTTTGTCCTCTTTGTCTACCACTTTGTGTAGCAAATTCAATAATCATCCTGCAAACCTCCCCCTTTCCTCCCCCACTTAAACAGATAGATTTATAAATCCAAAAAGCAGAGCCCATTAGCATAGATACAACCTTCAAGTTTTAATTTGTCCAGGTTCCAGGATGGTTCCGGAGTTCAGATCTGGTTCTGGGGCATAGTAAAAACCCTTGGGATATCTTTTATGCCAAGGTGCTTGCTCGAGAGTGAGGTGTTTATGTTCAAATTCAGTGAGTGCATTGATGATTGTGTGGAGTAACAAGAGGATTTTAAATGCCGCCAAAGCCAGGATTAGAGCTCAGGGGCCTCATCAAGCCTTGTTACCACATAATACAATGTTGTCGAATTTACTATACAAATAACTTCATGTTGATAATGAATTAAGAATACATCA